CAACTTAAAATGAAAATATATAAATAAAATAAGTTTGAGCACTGTCTAAAAACATGTTGTAACATAATGGATACAAAAAGCGTTCCTGGAATCAGATCGGAGCTCAGAGCCTGACTCTATCCCTTCCTGCCGTTTTGATCTTGGACAATTTACTGCAAATATTTTGAACTTTGGTTTCCTCAACTGTAAAATGCAAGTAATGTTTACCTCATAAATTTGTTGGGATGATTACTAAGACAAATACATGTAAAAGTCTGTTTAGCACACAGTTGATCCTCCATAACTGTTGCTAGCAGAGTGTAAAGGGTTCTGGAATCACACTTAAGTTCACTTACTAGCTCCAACATTTACTAACTTTGTAAGTTTGGGCAATTTACCTAACCACTCTATGCTTTCTTCCTTCTCTATAAAAAAGAGCTGATGACTGTAACCTACTCTAGTGCTATCTAACCAATTATCACAAACTTATTATTTAAAACAATACCCATTTACCGGCTCACAAATTCTGTAGGTCAAAAGTCTTGGTGGGTTTGACTGGGTTCTCTAATTTGAGTGTGATAGGACTGAAATCAAAGTTTTAATTTCAATTTAAAGTTTATAATCCAAAGGAGTTCTGGTGGCATAGATGATAAGGCATTTAGCTGCTACTGAAGGTCAGCAGTTCAAAGCCACCAGCTGCTCCATGTGTAGAAAATGAGGCAATCTACTTCTCCAAAGAAACTCAATGCGGGTTGCTGAGTCGGAATCAACTCCAAGGCAGTGGGTTTGGTTTTTATCCAAAGACAAGAAATAAATCTATATTTTCAAAAGGAGCTCTGGTGGTGTAAGCACCTAAGGCATTTGACTCCTAATCAGAAAGCTGATGGTTCAAACCTACCACCCACTCTTTGGAAGGAAGGTTGGACAATCTACTTCTGTGAAAATTGACCACTTTGGAAACCCAAAGGGGGTCTCAGTGAGTCGAAATCAACTCACTGGCAGTGAGTTTGTCTTCATTTTTTTGGTTGCTAACATTGCTGTGTGCCTTATACTAGGAGTTCTGGTGGTGTAGTGCCTAAGGCATTAGACTGCTAATGAGAAGGCTGGTGGTTCAAACCCACCAACCACTCATTGGAAAAAAGGTTGGGCCATCTATTTCTGCAGTGATACCACCTCGGAAACCCAAGGAGTGGTTGGTATGAATTGGATCCAACTTCATGGCAGTGTGTTTGGTTTGGTGTCTTGTACTGTTCTAATTCCTTTTCCAACATACTACTGTAAGTTCACTACTATGACTAACTCCATTTTATGAATTGAATCACTTGAAAATTAACTGACTTGTCTATTTGCTACTTGAAATCAGTAGAGAAAGAATTGCAATTCAGGTATGTCCTATCCCAGAATATAAATCATAGCTAATAAGAACAATTCTTGAAAATGAAAAACTTTCCACAATGCCAACTTTAGCTTGGTTTGTTGATACTTCATTCTACCATAAGGTAACATTTTTTTTTCCCCCTTGTACTCTAAATCTACAACAGGGTAACAGATATTTTGAAGAAAAAGACTTCAGAGTGAAAAAAAAAATTAAAGTTTGCAAAATGATGGATTAAAAAGTATACGAAATGTTTCCTAACCATGATATCTTCAAAGTTCTTATTAATCACTATGAATCCCAAAAGAGCTGTTCTAATATGAAGTATCTCCCAAAATTATTTGACCATGGCATTGTTTCCTTTTTCTTTTTAGGGAAGAAAAAAAAAAATCTTGGGAAACAATTTGAGATAAGTAACATATAGATTCATATTTGACAATTTTGACACATATTTGGAAAACTGTAGGCTTAATCATATGTGATTAGTAAAGGCCCCTTAGGACTTTACATGAGGTAGAAGATTCCTAAGAGAATGTTGTCCTTCTTAATTTTTTGTTAAAATCTATTTCTTGTGCTCTTTTAACATTTTTTATGTTCTACTTTTGCAGGTGCAATATACAGGTTTAGTAAGAGTGAAATAAGTCATTTAACTATAAACTAAGTGAAATATTTAGAATCTTTAGAAGGAAAGTTTTATTTGTAGATTATCATTATCAATAGGGGGTTAAAAAAAAAGTATAAATGGCCACAAGAAGCTATGGGTCCAAGATCATTTATCAAATTTAGATTGGAAAACAGAGCTCAATGTGTTGTTGTTGTTGCTATGTGCTGTTGAATCGGACCTGTCATAGGGACCCCTCCTTGGGTTTCCGAGGCAGTATCACGACGGAAATAGATTCAACCTTCCTTCGGAGGAGTGGTGGGTTTGAACCACCAGCCTTCTGGTTAGCAGTCAAATGCCTTAAGCACTACGCTACCAGAACTCCTATGTAGAGCAAGTTAATTGGCAACATCTTTCAAAATTTGTCAGGTAATGCAGAATGCATTACTAACATCTCTCCAGATATGTGGCCATAGAATATTCACTTTAATGTAGTATTACGCCCTCTGGAGTTGTGAAAAACAAATTCTTTAAATTAAATAAAGATGAATTGTTAATACACTACTGCCAAAAAAAATAAATAAATGTGTGCTTATCAAGAACACATCTCACAAGACAAACGAAAACAGGAAATAAAACTCTGAACTCACTCTTCAGTTCTTCAATTCCTTAATTAGAGACTTGTTTCTGATTGCACATTTTCAGGTTTTAATTCATATTCTTTAGAAATAATGCCTTATAACTAATATTAGACATTTCATTTCTAATTGTTAAAAAGATAGTTTATGATGAACATGCCACAACATAATTGAAAGCATACTTTCAAAATTAAGTTATAATTATGCACCAGAAAATGGAAATTTGGTTGTTTGAAGCTACTCAGCTACAGCTCTGGACAAGGCTGTCTTACTCTAACATCCATGACTTCAGGCTAAAAATAGACAGTAAATAAACGATTCCCTGTCTTTCCTTTGCAAAGAATTTTTTTTTTTTTTTTTCCCTCCTGAACCAAACAGGAGATCTGAACAAATCAAATTCTGAAGGGCGCCCCCCCACTAGTCCAATACTTTAACTTCTGGCTAAGAATATGTACTAGTATTTCCCATCCCAATTGCATTCTTGATCTCACATCGAATTCCAAAAGGAAGGTAGAAATTCAAGAGTAAAGGGCTCACGGCAGCAAACAGGTGATGCTGCTGGCAGCAAACAGGTGATGCTGCATGTCCCGTTGATCACTGTTATCTTTTCCTTAGTGAATTCTCCATTCAACTGTTTACCTTCTAGGATGATTCCTCAGTTTCTCTGTCCTTCTGTCCCTTTCCCCAACTCTTTCCCTAGAAGGATTTTAAAAAGAAAAGAAGAAGAAGAAGAAGAAGAAGAAAGAGTAGAGCCTTGTTTCATTTTGGTATCTGCAACTGCTGAAATAGAATTGGATTCATGTACAGTAAGCAATCATTCCAACCAAAAAAACAGGAGAAAGCGTTATTGTAAGCCATGGGCTATATTTTTGTTCCAAAAATTTTCACTGCAAAAAGCTGTCATACCAATTCGTTTATTGTTTCTGACGGATAGCAAGGAAATTTGATCCACTTTCATGAACTTCAAGAAGATGTCCTGGACTTCTGCTTTCTTGCACCATCCCCAAATTTGCCCCACAATTTTTCATTGAAGCACTTGTCTGCTCAGCGCCATACATCTTCTACTGGCTTGCCCTAAGCCTTCATTCACCCTTTCGCCCCAGTGAATAAATGAGCCCTCCCAGCACTAAAGCTAACTAAATGCAGACAGAACCGCAGAGCTCTGTCATTACTGATTAGCATCTGGCTGCTGATGAGGTTGCATTTTCTGAGAAATCCGGGACAGTTCACTTTGCAGAGATCAGACTCTCACGCAACATCCTTCGTGCCCCTAGAGTCACTTTTCAAAATCTCTTAACTTGTTTTCCCGGTTATGATAAGATGGAACTTCAGGGGAATCTTTAACATGGTTAATTATCAAGTCAGTGCTGAAAAGCTAAAGCATCTCTGACATCAAGTGTGCCCCCCACCCCCCGCCCTTAACCTCAGAGTCGCCGGCGTGTGTGCAGAAGGTGCAGCCGATGTAGGAACTTCAGAACCATTGGCAGGTGCCAGGGTGTGGCTGTGGTTGTCTCCCTTTTCTCCTCCAGCAGAAGGAGCCACCTCTGAGTGAGTGAGAGAGAGACAGAGAGAGAGAGGGAGAGAGGGAGAACGAGGGGGAGGCAGGGAGGAGGGAAAAAAAGGAGGGCGGGGGCGGGCGGCACCTGGGGATCGGGGATTGCGCTTGCGAAGCTCAGCCTCACACGCACGCCGCCTCTGTTTGTACACAGTGTTCTCCCGGCCTCCCGTTCGCTCCCTGCCTGCTCACGCTTCATTGTTCTCCAAGTCAGAAGCCCCGCAGCCGCGGTGGCGAGAGCAGCGCGAGCCGAGCGCGCCAGAGCCAGTCCGCCTGCGGACTGAGCGGGTGACCCAGAGCGGCGGCGGAAGCCCGCACCCTGCCCCGCCCGCTGCGCCTCGGCCGGACCCACCCGCAGCAGAGGGCTGAACCAGCCGGTGGCTCCACTGTGCTCGCCCTTCTCCTTGCGCTGGAGCTCAGGCAAAAAGAGAGGAAAGATTAGCTACCACTCTTTCTACCCCTCTCCAAGAATTTGTTTAAGGAAGCGCTGCGGGAAGAAGACATCTTCCTGAATTCTCTGGCAGGGGCGGGGTCTGCCACTGCCCCACGTTGCCACTTCGGTGACACTACCCTCTGTGCCTACCCCTGCCCTGCTGGGGTCACGTTTGGGAGACCGGATCATGACTCGTTCCGTGGCCGTCTGGCTCTTGGTCGGACTCAGCCTCGGTGTCCCCCAATTCTGCAAAGGTGAGACGTCGGGACGAGGGCCGCTGGGTACGGATCGGGAGTGAATGGTCCCCTGTGAAACGCAGAGTAGGGGCCGGCGTCCCTCCCCGGGGCGCGCCGGGAGTGGCGAGTGCTGCGGGCGGCGCGGAGGAGGAGGCGCGCCCTGGGGACCCCGGGAAGTGCTCCCAAAGTCAGAGTAGAGTGCGCGAAGCTGAGGGGGGAGGAGGGTGAGAGGTACTCTGACGAGATGGAGAAAAAAAGAGGGCCAGAAGGAAGGCGCGAGGGGAAGGCGCTCTAGGGAATCAGTGATTCTGCGGCTCTCTCAGCCATCGGGTCGCCGCTTGAACCTTTCCTGAGCATTGCAGGCGATTCCCCCCGCTGGCGCCAGGCGTGGGTTTGGTTGGGGACCGAGCGGGAAAGCGAGTGCGCCTGGGATGTGATCCGGTTGCTTCGGACCGAGGCTGTAGAGCAGCCGGGCTGTCCGCCTTGCAGGCGCGTTTTTATAGAGCGAGGTTGGAGCTGGGGTTTTAGTGAACTAATACTGAGAGTTTTGGCCCCGGGTGAAGTGAAAGTGGCTCTAGCAGTTCGCCGTTCTTCCACCTTCACTTCCAGGGCTCTCATCAACGACCACACAAAAACCCCCAAAATCCCCAGGGACCTCGTGCTTTTTTCTCTCTCTCTCTGCCTGTCCTCTTTGAGCACAACTCTTGGTACAGTGTGAAACATAACAACCCTAGCGTTCCTACCCAGAGGCAGAAAAGTTGTTAAGAGCTGGTTTGATTCGGCTTTCCGTGACTTGCATGAAATATATATTCCAGTCTTAAAAAAAAAAAAAAAAAATACTTGAACACGTCTTTTGGTGAGTTGTATAAGTGACTTCCAGGTTCTCTGCAAGATTTGACTTGTCAATAGAAGCCTTGGTCCAGGCCCTGGTCTTGGGGCAAGCCTGGGCTAAAGTGGCGTCGGGGAAGGGCAGGGAAGCGGCATGCGATTCTGAGGAGGCCGCGCCAGGGGGACCTGCGCCCCTCCTGCGCACGGGCGGATCCTTCTTAGGGTTCTGCGCTTAATAAAACCTTATTCAGGCTGATTTCAAGTAGAGAGCTGAGTGAACTACAAGGTTTAAAATTCTATGCTTCTAAAAAGGGTACTTGGACTAAAAAATGCGTTGATTACAATCCACTTGAGATAAGACATTGTATAAATATTCTACACCATACATCCATGCACCTATTCATCTATTTGTCTTGGAGGAAAATTGTGCACTCTTGTTTGCTTTGAGAAATCGGATGCTTTGGGCACATACCCTAGCCCTCCCAACAGAGCTCCGTAGGGGCACATTCTTTAAGCCTCCCTATTTTCCCCGGTATGTAGGCGTGTATGTAGGTGTATGTCTCGCCGGCGATTACAAAGTGTCCTTTCAGTTATCAGGCAGAGGCAGCCACTCCACTGAAGGTTAAGGAATGGTAATGGCTCTGTAGTTGCTTGTCCGAATTCTCAGCGATCAGAAAAAGACGGTGCTCCCATCCCAGTGTTTTTCCTTGCTCTTATTTTCCTTCTGCACTCCTTCTGCACTTCGATCCTTTGGCTGAAAGAGAAGAGGAAAACTGCAGGCACTACCCTCTCTTCCTCCCTTCCCCGCCTCCATTCCCACTCCAAACACAAAAACACTAACACTCACCCACTCACACGCACCTACACCTTGACACCGCCGCCACCATCTGTCCCTGCGCGAAGGTGGAGGGCAGCCGGGTGGAGGAAGAGAAAGTGCGTCTGGCATCTGTGGTCGCGCTTACCTCGATGGGTCTGGTTTCAGGAACCCAGGGGCGCCCCCAGTGCTGGCTCTCCTCAGTCCCGGACTTAGCCTCTTAAAGATAGCCTCGCTGAGGACACTGCTTAGTAGACCTGACAGTTCAAGGATGGAGATACTGCTTATTCCATTCCTGTCCTCCTGGACAATGCTCGGCAGCTGTGTACTCCATATTCCCTAGTAGATCTCTCCCTTTTCAGCCAGCCTGTGGGAAAGAGAAGAGGGCTTTAGCAGAGAAACGGACTGTTCTGCATTAACTCTTGTTGTTAAACTTACACTTGCCTAATTTATTCTCCTTCAGCCCTACAGAAGGCAGAGTGCATCTCCCATAATAGCTCCACACAATTAAACTTTGAGCAAACTTATTGAAGCCTCTGTTAACACTGAAAAGTTTCCTTGCAACCCCCCCCCACCCCCGCAAGACATTCTCTATCTAATATAGCCTTTTAGAAGTTGATATTTTCCCAATGTGTGGATTGCAATTTACATGCATTAACGTCTGGAATTTGATCAGGATATAGAACTCCTTTTATAGGTCGCTTTGATTTTAAAATTAAACCAATGGATCAGTCAGATTGAATATTTTATTAACTCTTAAATTATTCATTGTTATGGGTTGCTCTAAAATCCAATAACATGCATACAGTTGCAGCAAGCACATGACATCTTATGCAATCTGTTCCTGTGTCTGCAGTTTGTGCCTGAAGTCTTTAGGCAAATGGCACTGTCTAAAAATGTCTAGACAAGTCCTAAATACTATGAATCATTGGCATTTGCATTTTCTTTTTTTCAATCAATGGTGATTTTTAGTCACTTCTGTATGAGAACAAATTAGTACCTGAACAATCTCACTCCAGATAACACTATACTTCTGTGATTACTATAGCAATATTTATGTTCAAGTAAAGAGCCTTCCATGTTTTTTTAATTAAATATTAGTGTCTACATTACCTAATTTACGTGACCATTAATTTTGTATTTTAGATATAAAAATTCAGAGTCCAGGTGAAACATGTAAAAATAATTTTGAAATATCAAATTAAAAATAATAGTTAAGTGAAGACAAGGTATTCATCTGTGACACTTTGATGTTAAAGCAAAAGCTTGGTTATGTCATACCACTGCTATGATATAACAGACTTTTTTTCTCTAGTCCTGAAAAAGGTTCTGTTATTATTCCTAAAATATTTCCTTAGCATTGAAATAAAATTTGTTTTAAATATGTATGGTTTTTCAAAAACATTTTTATTGGTGAAAAATTCAAATGGTCTATGTTTATATCTTTGGTATTGAAGTTGCAAAGATTTCCATATCCAAGCAAATGTATTGCATTTCTGAACTAATCCTAAATTAAAACTCGTATTTTTTTTCCAAATATATTGATACCAATGTTGATATTAAATGTATGAACAAGATCTAGATTTTTTGATAAATATTTTACTAAAGCTTGTTTTTTGCTAGATAGAAAGATATTTTCATCATAAAATTGCATCAACATAAAATAATAAAATATACATAACTAAAATAAAATTACCTGTGGTTCAATGCCATTACAAAATATGAGGTTTTCAAGTTCTTCAGTTTTTCAAGAGTCTAAATCTGTAGGTATTCTAAACTATTTCACTGATGCTAATTAAGTGGAAGTTTTTATTAGTGACAATTTTTTTTGAAAACTTTCCATCTTCTAAAAGCTTTTGAGTAATGATATGAACGGTATGTGTTTTCATCTGTGTAGTTTTCCAAACCTCCTCATCTGAGAGTTTCCTGAGCATAAATCTGATATTCATTATTTACTGAACACACTTGAAGGTACAATAGCTTTGATTATGATTTATGATGAGGTGGATTCATTGAAAGGCTCTCTCTGGTGGCACAGTGGTTAATGTGCTCAGCTGCTAACGCAAAGGGTCTGCAGTTCGAACAGCCACTCTTCAGGAGAAAGATGTTGCTCTGCAGGAGAAAGATGTGGCAGTCTGCTTCTGTAAAGATGTACAGCCTTGGAAACCCAGAGGCAGCTCTACTCTGTTCTGTAGGTTCGATATGAATTGGAATCGATTTCACGGCAATGGGTGATATGGGTAAAGTCCATTTAGTCTTTGTTAGAAAAAAACAATAAAGTTCACACTTTAGAACTCAGTTCAAGCTAATGATAAATCAGAAATAGTAGATGCTGAGAAAAAAAGATAGTAGATTTTGCATATATTTAATTAGTGCAATGATGTCTATCATTGCTAATGAATTTACTTGTATGTAAACACACTGCCATCAAGTCAATTCAGACCTATAACAAGTCTATACAACAAAGTAGAACTGCCTTCATAGGATTTCCAAGACTGTAAATCTTTATAGAAGCAGATTTTCTCCCTCGGATCAGCTAGTGGACCTTTGGTTAACAGTGAAATGCCATAACCACTGTGCCACTAGATTCAGGTTTATTTCCTAAGTAGTCTGAAAATTGATATTATAGGGGAAAACCAAATAAAAGCCAGACCATTCATATTCAATTTCTCCTCAGAAGAAAGATGGGCAATCTACTTCTGTAGTGATACTGCCTTGGAAACCCAAGGAGGGGTTGCTATGAGTCAGGTCCAACTCAAAGGCACATAACAACAACAGCAACATTTTAATGAAGATATCTGGTACGTTTGTTTGTTTGCTTTTCACCATAGCCCACATAATGATTTTAACATCTTTTGGTTAATCAAAGCAAACATGAATTTTTAGGCAGAGTCAAATGGCTGTCATGTGAAATGGAGTAATTATTAATTTTTCCTGTGGTTTCCTAAGTGATATGCCAGGCAATAAGCATTATAATACTTAAACTGAGTGATTTACCATTTAATTGTCACTGAATATACCTTTGAAAGGTCTTTGATTTCAGAGAATTGTGGAAGAAAGCAGGCAGGAATTAACTCTGCCCTCACCAATAGGTGTCCGGATAATCAACAGAGCTCACTTAAAGGAAAGATGGAGAAATACAAGAAGTGAACTAGGAAATACAAATCTTCAAGCAAAGTAACTTTATAATCTATATGAAATTTATGTTAGATTTCAGTTTTCAGTGCTTTCCTGAGAAAGAAATGAAGCATTAATTGTAAGGATCTCGTCATTGTACAAAAGACTTTTAATAACACTTTCATGACTGAATTATTTTCTGCTTTGAATTTCATGTTGAAACTATCTAGGTGTTTTCAATACTGGAAAATGATTAGAA